TAAGTATTCCCTTGTGCATGGACCTAGCAATGTATAAAACAAGTTAAACAGATATGGCCCCTGCCCTCAGAAATGCACAAACATGAAAAGAACTAGAGATATATACACTTTCCCAGAGTCCACACTTTTTTTTTTTTTAAGATTTTATTTATTTACTTGAGAGAGAGAATGAGAGAGAGAGAGAGCATGAGAGGGGGGAGGGTCAGAGGGAGAAGCAGACTCCCCGCTGAGCAGGGAGTCCGATGTGGGACTCGATCCCGGGACTCCAGGATCATGACCTGAGCTGAAAGCAGTCGCTTAACCAACTGAGCCACCCAAGCACCCCAGAGTCCACGCTTTGGCACAAGCACAAGCCAGGAACACATTGATCAAATATTCGCAAGACACTTTAAGCATTGCAGTTAATAATTTTCATGTTAGGTCTCACTGACATCTAAGTGGGAACTTAATGGTAGTTAAAAAAATCAATAGAGCCGTAAAAATCTAACTTTTGTAAGCAAATTTATTGGTCACTTTGATAGATTGGTCATATACAAAATCTCTTGAGAAACGCTGATGTATGTTCTTGTGTGTGCTTGTAACTATTATTTTATTTATTTTTAAAGAAAGGAGACAGGGGTTCCTGGGAGACAGTTGGCATTCACGTATCTTGCAGGGATGGATTATTGATCTGACATCAAGCAATATTCCATCACCATCTCTGCGCTTCCTGAGCCCTGGTGTGCGGGAAACTGCAGGATCGGTCTCTGGTCACCCTTTCTGTTCTTTTCTTACCGTCTGCATTCCTCGGCAGCCCCTCGTTGTTCCCCACTCTGATTTACTGGGACTTGTCTTGCCTCGGTCCCATGATTGTCATTTGGGCAGCCGGGGGTGGGGGAATGGATCCATTCTGTGACACACGCAATAAGGTGCAACACTGAAGTCACTGAGCCAGACATTTCTCAATATTTGCTCTGGCAGAGAGACAGGGAACCAGAGCTGCTCTCGTGTTCTAGGGGACTGAAAATCAGTTTGTAAAGAGAGGGGAAGGAATCCACCTGGCCTCAGGTCTGGAGGGCAGGAGGTTTGCAGGGCAGTGAGTCCAGGCTTCCTTTGCTTGTCTGCTTGGCAAACTGACTCCTTTTTCAGGTTTCCATACAAGGGTCAACAAAACCTTCACTGCTCCTCTGTGGGGAGCATCCTGAATCTTCTACAGGCTTCCATGGTGGTGATCATCTGTCTACAAACCTCTTGATGTATCTCTCCCCAGTGCCTGTCACAGTGCTTGTCACATCAAGGGCACTCAGCAAATGTCAATAGAACAAAAGCCAACCAGAGCAGATTGGCTCTGCCTTCCTTTCGTCATTTGATAATTGGCCAGCAAACTGAATGGCCTAATTAACCAGGGGCTAAGGGGGTGGTCACAAAAGTTAATGATTTTTATTGCTTTATTGATTTTTTAACTGTCACTTAAATGCCATGAACACAGGGTAGGATGTTTTAGTGGCTATGAGGCAGTATAGCCTGGTGGCTAAGAATGCTAATGCTAGAGTAGGCTGCGTTGGCCTAAGTTTTGACTCTGCCCTTTAGTTGCTGTGTGACCTTTGGCGAGTTCCTTAACCTTTCTGTGCCTGGGTTCTGTGCCTTGTAATACTACCTGCCTCCTGTTGTGAGAATTAGAGGAGTTAACATTTGTAAAGTATTTAGAACTTGCAGAAGCGCCAAGAATAGAGAGGTGCTTGATCAGTATTTGTTAATGAATAAAATTTTTATTTTTTAATTTTCAGTTCATTGTTAAAGAAGATATTTAGATAATCTTTTTTCTTTTTAAAGATTTTATTTATTTATTCATAAGAAACAGAGAGAGAGAGGCAGAGGGAGAAGCAGGCTCCCAAGGAGCAGGGAGCCCGATGCGGGACTTGATCCCAGGACCCTGGGATCATGACCTGAGCCAAAGGCAGACGCTTAACCATCTGAGACACCCAGGTGCCCCTAGATAATCTCTTTTTCTTTCAGTTGCTTAATTTTATGTTCTGGGTAGGCTAGGTATTGAAAAGTACTACTGTCTGGTTATTGCTTATTTATGATAAATTCCCTTTCTGATAAAATATCCAACACAATCAGAAGAGTTAATACAAATAAAGAGCTTGGAATGATGCCTGACACAATGCTCAGTAAATATTAGCTGGTATTATATTATTATTCATTTGTTCATTTAACAAATGTTTTTTGAGCACTGTATGCTAGACACCAGGGATACGTTGAGTGGGAAACAGACAAAAATCCTGCTGTCATGGAATCATCATTCTAATGAAGCAAATAGACAATAAATAGAACCTGTAAAATGCATACCATGTTTTATAGATTTTAAGACACACAGTTTTTCATGTGTTAATATCTCAGAAATTGAGATACATCTTACAAATGATAGCATTTTGCAATTTTAATTGCTAGCGTTTTTTTTCTTTTGTATATAAAACGATGATACACGTTTCAATCGATGGAACCCCAGATCTGATGTAATGTGAGAGCATGTTAGATAGAATCAGTGATAAGGAAAAAATTAAGGCAGGGAGGATCACAGAGAACTTGGGAAGGTCTGCAACTTGCATATGGTATAAGTTTGCAATTTAAATATACCCCTGTATCTTTACACTTACATATTTTAGAAGTCAAAAGCCAGATTATTTAATAAAATGATCATTTAAAATATTATTAGTGGTAGATACAGTGTAGTATCCTGGATGGGCTCCTTGAACAGAAATAAGATATTAGTGAAGAAAGTGGTGAAGTATGAATGAAATCTGTAGTCTAAGTAGGTACTGAACCAATATTAATATCTTAGTCTCTATAATTATACTGTGGTTATATTAATGTTAGTAGAAGCTGGGTGAAAGGTATACAGAAAATCTCTGTATTACCTTTACAACTTTTCTGTATATCTAATATTATCTAATATTATCCCCAAGGGAAAAGTTTAACCAGAACAATGTTATTAGTGTACTTGAAACCACTCTGTTTACCAAGAAATAACTGACTTGTTTGGACATAGTTTCTCTGTAAGATATTTTGCCCAGTAGCCATGCTCATGCATGCAAACCGTTCTGGATAATAGGAACAAAGGGTACAAAAGACAAGAGTTTCCAGAACCAGAAATAATAATAACTAACATTTATTGAACATTTATATGTTCAGTATTGTTTAAAGTGCTTCATGTATGTTCATTTCCCAGATATCACCACCACCCTGTGACATTGGTATTATTATTATTATTCTTCTCATATTTACCAATGAGAAACTGAGGTGCAGGACTAAGTAATTTGCCCAATTTAAGTAGTTGGAAAGGCATGGAACTATGATCCTAATCTATCTGGGTCAGTGGTCTTCAAGTGGAGATGAGTTTGGCTCATTGTTCAAGGACCCAAAAGTCCAGTGTGGTCAAGCGTGGAGTATGAGGGGGTGTATGGTAGGATGTGATGTCTAGGTGGTTGATAGGGGCCAGGTCATGTGGGGACTTATGAAAAGTTTGGATTTTCTTCCAAGTAGAATGAGAAGCTATCCAAAGGTTTGGAGGAGGAATGTAAAGTCCGAGATCTCTCTAGTTGTGGAACGCAGAGAATAGGCTCCAGGGGCTAACAATTCCATGGAGGTTTGTGTGTTCCATTGTGATGGCAGTGAGGACAAGGATTTTGTATCATCCAACTCAAGTCTGGTCCGTCCTGCCTGCAGACATATTCCAATCAGGAGACTCTTCATGGTAAAACCATTCCAAGCCCATGTCCTCCTGATATTGGATAGGGTTTTGTTTTTGTTTATTTTCTTTTTTTTT